GGATAACTGTGGGGATGTGGATTTGGGTTCAGTAGGAAATATTGGAAATTCGTACTATTGTGTACTAAACTTGATATAATTGTGAGGGTGTAGGATCGGGGTATGCAGGAAGTATGATGGATTGGAAATAATGTATGCTAAATTTGGTACAATTTGAATTTGGGTGAACTCGAGTCATGAAATTTGCTACAAAAGGGTACTCAAATTTAATTTATTGTCGATATTAATGTGTGGATAGCTTAGTTTTTCTGACATATGCAGTTTTCTGTGAAAATAAAATAATATGTTAAAACATGTTTAAATATATCCCACATTCCCTAACGAAGTAGCGGGTATAAACTAGTATATTTTATAAATGGATTTATAGACCAGATGTGGTGAATTTTTTGGAAGACTTTTAGACCAAAACTCGTGGATTTTATTGATGGACTTTTAGACCAGATTTCGTGAATTTTATTTAAGAACTTTTCGACCGAAAATAGTTGATTTTATTGAGGGACTTTCAAACGAGAAATCCAGAATGTTCTAAATAACTTTCGACAAGGACTTTCACAAGAATTTTATTTAAATAAAGAAATTATTCAATAAAATCTACGAATACTTGTCTAGATTTTATTGAATAATTTCTGGACTTTATATAAGGAATTTTAGACAAGAAATCATGGATTTTTTGAAGAGCCTTTGTACCAGAATTCGTAAAATTTATTAATGAGCTTTAAGACCTAAAATTGTGTTTTTTAACACACAGATTTTTTACGAGCTTTTATACCAAATATATATATATATATATATAGGGGAGAGGGGGGCACCTTTGAACACTTTTTGCTTTCAAGCCTTATAAATTTTTTTTATTTTATAATTTTTGGTTTCTTATAAATTTTAACTAATAGGTACATATGTAACCTTTAAAATGAATATACATATGACATACTATAAGCTTTATAAATATATTTTATTACTGTTTTAATAGACGAAATCAAAGTGTTCAAAACTGCCCCCCAGGGGGTCAGCTTTGAACAGGGGTTGGCATTTTTGAACGACATGGTTTTTTACAGTGCATATGTTCAAATATGTATGTATTTTATTCATACATATCAGAAATGCATGAATTCATTAAAAAATATATAAAAAATGTTCAAAATTTAGATAAAAAGTTATTAAAACATAAAATGACTTAAAAACAAAAATTAATATGGTGAAAAATACAGTTAATTTCGTAATCTTATTAGCCCATTTGAAATTTTGAGAAATCGAAGCCAAAAGTTAAAAACTCTTTTTTTACTCGAGTTCAATGGGCATGTTCAAAGGTGCCCCACCCATGGCATTTTACGGAAATTTAAAATAACTTTTTTTGTAATAAATATATATGAAAGAAATTACATTAGTTATGTTTGAAATGATTGTTGGAATGCAAAAAATTTGTTCGACGAAAGAAAACTATCACAGAATTCTTCCTGCGTCCTTAGAAACAAATGAATAAAAGTTTACAATGACACTGAGAAAACATGGTCACCCATGCACAATTTTTCGACAACTAAAAAAGCAAGCCAAAGTGGTTTACGCATATAGAGAACAAGATTGCCATATACAAAAATGTGGTTGCGGGTCGGAAAAATATTAAACCAAGATTTTATGGGCGCTGTTCAAAGGTGCCACACGTTCAAAGGAGCCCCCCTCTCCCCTATATATATATATATATATATTTTTTTTTTTGAAGGACTTTTAGACCAAACATCATTGATTTTTCTTGAAGACATGTAGACCTGAAATATTGGATTTTATTAAAAAATCGTCAAACCAAAAATCAAATATTTTATTGACAGATTTAAGACCAATAACCAAGTTTTATTGAGGGAATTTTAGACCAAAAATAAGTCCTTTAGTCAAGAAATAAATTAAGGCTTTTGCGAAAAAAATCGAAGATTTTATTCGGGCAAATTTTAGACTAGTGGGTTATTAATATTTCCGAAACCAAAAGTCGTATTTAAAAAAAAAAACGTTTCGACTATAAATCGTGAATCTTTTAGAAGATTTTAATGTAAAAATTGTTTAATTTTTAATATTTTTGAAGGTTAGACAATCGAGGATTTTTGGAAATACCATTAATTTTCTATTTTAAAAAAAAATATTTTTTTTGTCTTTCGTAATGTCTATTCCCCTTAGGAAATTGATGTCGAAGTTGAGCTGACTGCCAACCATTATGGTCGCTTTGAAATGTATTTGTGTCCGAACAATAATCCCCGTAAAGAAGCCACACAGGAATGTTTTGATCGTTATCCCCTATATATTTCTGGAAGTCGGGAACATCGTTTCTTGATACCACGTGAAGCTAAAAAGAAGGATATTTTCCGTTATCGTGTTCGTTTGCCACCCTATGTCACCTGTACCCAATGTGTCTTGCAATGGACCTATTATACAGCAAATATGTGGGGTACTTGTGCCAATGGTACTGAGGCTGTGGGTTGTGGTAAAGCTGGTAAGAGAGATATGACAACAATGCAAAACATAATAAAAAAAAATAAATTTTGAATACAAAAATTATTATTTCTGTAATGATTTTTTTTCCAGAAACCTTCCGTAACTGTGCTGATATTGCCATTGTTTCCAACACTGGTGGTGGTCTGCCACCAATATTCGTTAACAAAAAGAATCCCTATCTGTTGTACTACAGAGATTATAGAGCGCCCGAGGATAATAATGTTTTCCCATTGATTGTAAGGTAAGTGAAGTGGCAAGGAGCCACAGTATGACAATATTAAAAACAACGTGAAGCTATAAATCACCATTGTTGCCACAATTATATTCTGTATATAAATTATTGATATCGATCTATGCTTTTTTGCTTTTTATAGAAACTCCTCAAGACACTAGTGTCTTACATGGAGGATGGAGCACTAAGACTACCTACTCTATTCTGCTAATACTGCTACAGCTTGAAAGAAAATAAAAGAGTCGCACAAAAAATGTCTATCTCTTTGTAAATGCTTACGCACATATTTAAAAGATACCAGCACAAACTATTTGAGAGGAATTGATCTTGATCTGCTTAAGGCATCAGGTGCTTAGTTCCGCTCATAACGCCAACACCATCAACACATACACACGCACATACATCTGCACATAATACATAAATACACACACGCTTTTATTTGGCTTTATAATGCAAATTTAATTAAGCAGTCAGACAGGCTTATAACGAAAAATGTTTATTGGACCCAATCGGATAGATTTCTTATAGTTTCTGATATGGAACCAAAAAATAGTTTCGTTATTACCTCGATGGACTGTATTACATCACTTCAAACAACACATATGTATAAATACCCTTAAAATTACACTTTCACACATTTTAAACATTTTTCATACCAAAAAAAGCGCACAAAAAAATTAAACTAAAAAATACCAAAAAGAGAAGCAAACAAAAAACATTAAGAAACTGATTTCAATGCATTTAACCATTTTTATTTTTTATAAAAAAGCAAAAATTACTGCCATTAACATCACAAACGTGTTGCTCACTATTTGTTTATTAGTATTTTTAATGTTATTTTTAGATATGTTTTATTGTACATTTTAAGTTGTAAATTTTTAAATGCTTTTGGCTGGGGTTTTTATTAGCTTAAGTGTAAAAATAAAATAAAAAACTAAATAATAAAGCATAATTTTAAATAATAAAAAACAAATAAATCTGTCAAATAAAACTTTTACTAAATGCTGTTTTATTCTTTGACTTTCTTTAAATATGGTTATGGTTATAAGATTAATATAATAATTTATGATATAAGTTCATATAATTAAAATAAAAAAATAATAATTTGTAAATATTCTGCATTAATATATTCAATTTTAAACTAACGTATAAATACTTATGTGTGGCAACCTCTTTCTTGTATATATTTTGAGCAGTGCCGTCTATTGAGAAATAGCAATACCACTTCAAATAATGAAGACAGGGTTGCATTTTGATAACACAGCAGTAAGTTCTATGTCACTAACATGACATGTAGATGGCGGTTATATAATTTATTCTGAAAATTTGAACAAGCCAACCAAAACTCGAATAAAATTAAAAAAGTTCGCCATGAATAAAAAGGATTTTCAAGAATGTAACTGACATCATTTAATCCAACGCAAACTGTTTCAGACATTTCACAAACTTTATTATTACGTCCACATTTACCAATACGTTGAACCAACTTTTCAAATTCTCGGCCGCACAATTCAACCGAAACTGTCGCTGCTCCCCGTTAAATGATCACTCTTCCGACATTGTACACGGGTCGAAATTACCGATTAAATTACAATAACTTCTAAACCAATAAAGATATGTTTTTGAAAATTTGCATATACCCATCCCATACCTGTGGGAATTAGTCGGAAACATATGGACTATATAATGGTACCCGCACTCTTTAATGCGTGTTTAAGGTTAACGTACACAACAAAAACTTGGCAGGAAGCCAGGGTAGTCTCCATACCCAAGTCCGGCAAGGCAAACTACGCAACACCAAATAATATCGGCCAATAAGTCTAACTTCGTTCCTACTCAAAACCACGGAACGAACAATCGACACCATGATATAGAGAAGTATACCCAATGATACGCTGAAATATAAACAACATGCGTATGTAAAGGGGAGATCAGTGCACTACATAAGGTAGTACACTATATTGAGGGCACCTTCGCTAAGAAAATGTATACCTTATAAAATGTATACATTCAAGCAGCCTTCAACAATGACAGCACTAATACACTTATCCAATCATTAAATACTTTCCAAGTTGACCGGGCAATCATAGACTGGTTTAACTATATGCTAAGGAATAGATAGATTAGCTGTAGCCTACAAGACATAACAATCAGAGACAAAGTAGGTCAAGGAACATCACAGGGAGGGAATTTGCCACCGATCCTGTGGGTAGCTACCATAAATGGACTCTTAAGAACTTAACCGATGAATGATTAGATCCAGTCTGTTATGCAGATGACGTTATAATACTTCTTAGGGAAAATAATCCTAATTTACTATGCAGGTGGTGCTAAAAGGTGCTAAACATCGCCTACGATTGGGCTAAACCGAGGGGCTTAAACGTAAATCCGGACAAAACGTAGATATGTAGTTTTACTAGAAAGACAAAAATAGGTCAGTATGAAGAGCCCATATTACAAAACTAAACGATAACCATATATCAAACAAAGTTAAGTATCTAGGAGTAATTCAAGACAGGAAACTTAAATGGAAAGTTAGGCTACAGCAAAAGGCTGACAAGGCCTGTAGATGCTGGTCTTTCTGTAGAAGAGCCGTATTCTCTAAATGGGATTTCAATCCTAAGATGATACACTGGATCTATAAGAGCGTTATTAGACCAAATTTAACATACGCGTCTGTTGTCTGATGGACAGCAATGTACAAAAAATGTAACGTAAAAGCGTTGCAGAAAGTTCAGAGAACGTGTTACCTAGGTATATGTTAGGCAATACGTACATCACCAACTAGGGCCTTGAAGCTGTGGTTGCAGCTTCAAGTGGATAGACACCGGACACAATATACCGCACAAAAACATATTACAGGCAACTACTTAGTCAACAATCAATACCTTTGATTCAGACTGCATACCTGAAACGAGAGTAGTAACAGGTAGTAACAGATGGCTCTCGACTAGTAGGAAAAACTGGACTGGGACTTTTTATCGAAGAACCGGGTACCGAAATTTCTCTTCGCCTTATAGATCACAGCACGATCATACCAGCGGAGGTTCAAGCTATAACAGAGTGTCTTTACTGGTTAAGTTCAAACCAAGGACAAAATAAATAATTATAATTACCGATAGCACACAAGCTATAAATACAATATCTTCCAAAATAGTTAAATCAAAAACTGTACTGGAATGTATAAACAAGGACCTGTACGAATTATATGAGTCACAAAGGAATCATAAGCAACGAGATAGCAAATCAACTAGCTACGAGTGCTACTGCACACAATAGGTGTGAATACCTTCAAAGCCTTTAGCGACACGCCAAGAGATGAGGGAATGGGCGAATGAGACGCAAGGCATGAGAGACAGGAAGGCATTGAAACGCTGGAACATTTACTGTGCCATTGTCCAGGATTTACATGCCTTCGGAAACAATTCTTGGGGAATGACACTTTTCACGGACTAACCGATCTGAGGGGGTGTGAATGGAGAAGACTGAAGGAATTCTCAAAAAAACACGGAATTACTAGATTCTAAGGGGGATCAAACCGAAAATATTTCAATCTAAACTTTCCCTAATTATATCTTTCTCCGCATTTCTAGAGCGCACAAGAGGCCTCAATTGGCTTACGTGTATGTCCTACCTATGTTGGACATGTTATAGTATTATCCACCCCTCTTTATAACCTTGACACTTGTGTCAAACGAATTGGCTAAAACACGTAATATGAGTTTCTCACGAAGTTCCAAATACAGTATTTTTCGGTTAATTCCACATCAAAATTTGCACAACTTTTTGTTCAATTAACCGAGAAACCAATTATCCGATACCCGCTTAATTGAACTCTTTGTTCAATCTGAACCAATTTTCACAAAATTGAGCACACACTATCCTAGTCATAAATCAATATTCTATGCCAAATTTCGTAAAAATATATAGGGAATTCGGTGCATCATTTACATAAAATCGGACGAAAATATATATGGGAGCTATATGTAATTTGAGCCGATTTCTTTCAATTTCAATAGGGTTCGTCCTTGGGCCGGATTATAAATGCGACATGTACTTTGTTTACAATTTAACATCAACAGACGTCCGTCCGTCTGGATATGCATAAATCGACTCAGAAAGTGATTCTATGCACATTCTCAAAAGGAAACATTGGTTTACAAACATGTCTGATTATTTTTCAATAATAATGCAATTAACCGGTGAAAAATAAGAGGAATTTTATTTTTGATGATATGAATTTTGAACCAATTAAACGGGAAAATCAATTAACAGGGATTAATTATCCGAGAAAATTTACATCATGTGGTTCAATTAAGCGGGGAAACCAAATAACCGTAGGGTCAATTAACCGAAAAATACTGTATATGTACTAAAAATTATTAACATTGGTGCAGTTTTCGGGGTACCCCTCAAATTTCTCATTTTTGAATTTCGCATAATTATAACTTTTCAAATTTTACTAATAAAACTTTTTGGATAACATCCATGAAGGACTTTTCCAGATAATTCGATTTTCGAATTAGTTCGCTTTCCAATGTCTGGTTCCGTATTGGTGTGCCATTTAAAAATGGGCATCGATGATAATATTTCAAATTTTACTAATATGCATTTTTTGAAAAAAAAAATGATTTCGTTTTTAATAGCGCTTGGCACCTTTCCGGAAGTGCCACCCATTTGCCTGTGTTATTTATAGCACAATGGCTCATTAAATTTTAAAATATGTTATATTGAACTAAAATCGGTTATAGGTGTCTTTGCTACATTGGGTGGATTGATTTTTTGCTAGTTAAAATCGATTTTATCTTCACGCACATCTCAATTTTGAATATTTCGAGGATTTCTGTCGGAATGGTTTTAATTGGCATATTCACAGAAAATTTTCAATTTAAGTTTTAAATTAATTACTACATGGCTCCCATACAAAATTCACACATCATTTTTGGTATAGTCTAATTTCTCCGCTGAGGGTAGTTTGGTATTTCTTTCTCCTGAGAGCAATTTACCATGATATGGCTATAGTCCAGAAAATATTGTAGAATCATCAAATCTCACGATTTAGGCGGCAAATCGAGTGAAACATTTCTGGAGATAATACACTAATGAAACTTGATGGGGTTTTGTGGTCCAAATTAAATCACTTTATCGTTCAGGTAAATACATAACAATTCAGTCTAAAAATGACCAGTGAGCCTTGACATGGTCAAACAATCCGTACCAGACATTTATTTTTATACCCTCAGCCGTATGGCTAATAAGGGTATATACAATCTGATACGGAAAAATGTTTATTTGGACTAAATCCGTTGCAGGCAATTTAGAGCCGATTAACAAATGTGCGTACGTATATCTGTTAGGATGGTGCGCTAAAAATAACAGAATATTCCTACTGGAAACTTAGCCTACTCCTACTCACATACTCCAACTCCGTGGCATGGTAATGACAAAGTTTATAATGAAAAAAGTATAATTTCATATTAAACAAATATAGCATTCATTGCAATTTTAAATTATGTAAATGAACTCTCCTTCGAGAATTTTCAATACTACTTCAGTTAAAACTCTTAAATTTTTGAATAATTTATTGCAATTGGATATTACCGAAGTTAAACTAATGGATTAAACTCAATAAACATAAGTTGAACTTCCGAAATTTCCGTTAAACATTTCAGAAATTAAAAAGTATAATCAGTTATATACAAATATTTGAGATTCAAAATTGATAAAATATTCAACATTTGGCATCGGGTAGGGTAAAGGCCATAATAAGTAGCATAAAACAGGAGATTTGTACTACGCCAACCAAAATGGTTTTCAAGAGATGGTTTTTTGGATTCGGATCGGGCTTGTCTACAAGCAGAGGGGTAACAGATTTTCGAATGCGGCGACGTTGTCTAACTCTCATGAGAGGTCGCTGCTGGAGGTTAACTACTTCGAGAATTTTTTCATTTCCTTCATTTAATTTTTCGCCTGGAGTAAAAGTTGTAAATGAATCTTGGAGTTCTGCATTACTGATTTCCTCCTGATCTTTATCGATTGTTATATCACTTGTTGTTTTGTTATTCTTCAGAATATTATTAAAGAAGATTGGATCATGATCCAGTAGGTTGAATGAAACTGCCGGATCTTTTGATTTAATGTATTTTATGAAAATATTTGGATTTTCTTTGAGTTTCATAAATGAGGTCTTTTTCATTTCGGGATTTTTGGAATCCAGTGGCATAAAGAATGATTGATTGGCATCGTTCTTCATTTCTACAATAGATTTTTGAGCAATATAAAATTCCATTGCAATACCAATAATAAGCCTGATGCCTAGTGGGGCCAATACAATTGAGGCATTGTGCTCGGGACCTCTCACATAACCATAGGGTTTTATTTGCAATATTATTGGTGGAATATTTGAATTCAGATTTTCTTTTATTCTGTTCTCAGTGTCCTTGATGTCTTGATATTTGACAATATTTCGTTGTGAATTGGTTCTATTTAATGTTGATTCCAATTTCTCACCCAATGCTCGTAGAATTAATATTTCTCTTTCGAGAGAGGGTACATTTTTAAACACCACATCTACTTCCAATTTCTTTGGCTCCTCCGGACAAGGTGTGCAAATCTGGGACTCTTCCAAATGTTCTTTATTGTGTACGTCTGGATAAAGACTTTCTTTAGATTCCAATTTATGTAAAGCCTGTTTGACAACATGTTCATGTTTAAGAATATCCTTTAGTTGGTCCTTGAGAATATCCTTAAATAGTTCCGGATTATTTTTATCTACACAACGATAACGTTCATCAGATTTGAGGACATTTTTCACTAATTCCAACTCTTCTGGTGACATATCACCTCTGCCTCGTTCCTGTAGAACTTCATTGAAATGCCTAAAGATATGGCGGCTACTCGTTTCCAAATTGAAATGTGATCTTGAAGACATTAGGGGTGCCAATTTATATTCCTCCTCTTCACCCAGCTCTTCCTCCTCGGTTTCATAATCTTGTTTTTCCCGAGATAATTTTGTGTAGCTTGGTGGTGTCAATAAATTTGTTGACCATTTTCTAGGAATTGATATACTACTGTGTCCCGCACCTGTTCGATTCTCATCCATTGCCATAGATGATTTGGAATTGATTAAGCTTCGTGCATTCATAAGTTCTTTAAGCATTTTTGTGGGTTTATTATTGAAGAAATATCCCCGATTATCCATCTGAGGCATTACAATAGGTTTGGGTAGACGACATTTGGCTGCACGTGAAACACCAGGACCACTTCGATTTGAGTTAGGGGTTAAGGGCCGCCGATGACTTTCTTTTTGGGCCATTGATTGTTGCTTTGGAGGTTGATGTTGCATTTTTTGTTGATATAAAATTTGTTGTTGTTGCTGCTCATGATGATTTGCTGCCATTTGTTTCATTAGCTGAAAACGTTGTGATGGCTTTGACCTCAAATTCGTTCTAGATCTGGTGAGGTTTTCCGAACTCGTCGATTTTCGTACTCTGCTTAGACGATCCCAAACATTTTCTTTTCTGAAATAAATTAAAATGTCAGTGATATCTATTCAACGGAAGTCTTTGAAGTTTGACAGATATCCCAAGATTTGATTTTGGAAGGAGGTAATATCGGTCAAACTTCGAAGGTTGATTAATTGTTACATACCTGTTGTTATTGCTGCTCATTTTAGTTATTATTGGGAGCACAATATTTTGCTATTATAAATTTTGAAAAATCTATATTTTATTTTTTATATTTTTTAAAAGTTTATATTATTTTGTGTGACAAACTTCTTTTCTTTTTTGAAACTGAAATTCTATGGAAACAAGGTGTATTAAATAAGGTGTAAGTGGCAATCATATGGTTTCAAACTTTTTTCTTTATTGTTTGTAAAGTAAATTGTCAAAAACATTTTCAATATTACATTTCGATTTCAAAAATTGTTTTTAATTTGAGGCTTTTTTAATTATAAAAATTCAAGAAAGGAAACCTAGGCCCAGTTTTAACCCCGTTCACCGATTGGTCCACATATTTTATGTTATGTGTGGAAATCTGTCCAGAAAACCCAGCTACTCATAAAATCGAGATTATGTTAGCCTATATTGGAATCGGTCCCTTGGTGCTTGTCACAATTCTCGGCGGAGGTTAAATACGCCTATGGAAAGATTTTATACGGTCAACACAATTTTCATGATTTAGTCTCTGGCCGGGGATATATCCTTTAATTTTCTTTAAGATGGCAAGATTTGAAGCCACTCCATAGAAAAAATAGATTGCAATCCACAATATAAACATCACAAGGAGCCATAGGCTACATGTGGGAAACTTAAAATTAATCGCGACCAGGTCTTAAACTTTATTTTTCACTGACCTAAAACCGCCAATAACCCAAGAATACACAAATTCATTAATTATTCCTCAAAGAATAATTCTTGACAAAAAAATTAATAATTGTTTTTGTTTATTTTTGTCAAAAATTTATTGTCAGCATGACAATTTAATTTCTATAACAACAATGTTGTTTTTGTAAAATATTTGTTGTTGTATCTGATGCATACACCTTATTAAATACACCTTGTATGGAAATAATTATTTTGACATGAATTTACACCTTACAAAACTTATGTTTTGTTTTTTTCACTTACAGAGATCAAAAATGTATTGCATCTCCTGCCTTCCGTGCTTTACCTGGTATGGATAATTGGTGCGAAACTAATTGTTTGCGTTATCCACCCAATTGTCCGGCAACGGCCTGTCATTGCCCGTAAGTATTATAAATTTACAAATAATCGAAAATATTGACAAAAAAACCAATCAAATAGGAATCACAACATTAATTAACGTGATTATTTTTTCCTCGTCTACCTCTTGATATGATAATTTACAAAATCCGTCTTAAATATTTACTAAAAACCTATTTTTCTTCTTACAGTCAAGAATGTGTCGCCATTGGTGAGTTGGCTGGTAAAGAAGGTACCGACACCTGGTGCATGGACCAATGTCTTAATTATGATTCTCAGTGCCCAACTGATAAATGCCGCTGCTTCTAGAGACTTGAAACGTGTCATCGAATCTGTATGAAGAGGAAATCTGGTATTTCCATATGCAGATTTGATTACATCATATGCGCTGCCCAAAATAAACTTTACAAATTAATTATTAAATAATTTTGTAGAACTATTATTTTTTATTCAACAGCTGTGCTTCGAACTCTGTGCCTATTACAAAAAAATAAACTAAATAAATAAATTTATCAAATATGTATATTCTTTATATGAAGTTCACGTTTGTAAGTATAAAAGTAGTAAACCCCTGACGAGCTGAAGGGAGTCTTTATAGACGAGCTGAAGGGAGTCTTTATAGACGAGCTGAAGGGAGTCTTTATAGACGAGCTGAAGGGAGTCTTTATAGACGAGCTGAAGGGAGTCTTTTTAGACGAGCTGAAGGGAGTCTTTTTAGACGAGCTGAAGGGAGTCTTTATAGACGAGCTGAAGGGAGTCTTTATAGACGAGCTGAAGGGAGTCTTTATAGACGAGCTGAAGGGAGTCTTTATAGACGAGCTGAAGGGAGTCTTTATAGACGAGCTGAAGGGAGTCTTTATAGACGAGCTGAAGGGAGTCTTTATAGACGAGCTGAAGGGAGTCTTTATAGACGAGCTGAAGGGAGTCTTTATAGACGAGCTGAAGGGAGTCTTTATAGACGAGCTGAAGGGAGTCTTTATAGACGAGCTGAAGGGAATCTTTATAGACGAGCTGAAGGGAGTCTTTACATACAAGCTGAAAATCAACTTTTATAGCTCTGATCATTCTCAAAAATTCCCTGCTAATTTTCAAAAAAAAAAAAATTAATAAAATCGAAATATTTTTTAAAAAATCGATGCTTTGAAAAATTGTTGATCTTTGTGTGAAGATGAATAAACATTCTAGATCACAGAATGTGAAATCGTTCCATAACATATAATGCAAAATCGTCATAGAAGCATCCTCCAGCATGCATTACTTTTGGCATGAACACCTGGGCACAATTTAAAAGCGAGCAAAGAAAAAAGATCGCGGTACTCAAAAGTTATTTATAGGAAGCCAAAAGTTGCGTATCGTATATCTATGCGCATGAGTAGGACATAAAAAAGCTGTCGACTGTGTAAGGGCTTCGAAGACTGGACAAATTAAAAAAAAAATTGTTCGTGAAAAATGAACAGTGAAAGGCGGTCAATCCAGCCTCTTTTTGGCAAACCGTGGAGATGATGGGTCATCCCACGCACAGCTCGCAATGAAATAATTTTGTGGAACAAATCAATTTTTGTCCCTTTCGTCGTTACGTTGGCCTTGAGGCCTTGATTAAACCGATATAAATTAGTTCTTGCGGACATCCGTATTTCCGGAAATATGGGCCTCTAAAGTTCCTCTTGGACTCTTGTATTTCCTGATGAATAAATATGGGTATAAACTAAATGGAGTAGTATGGTTTGCAATTTATTTAAAATCGGCCTTTGGGGCTTCAAATTGCATTTTTAAAATAAATAAATAAATAAAAATAAATAAATGCGTTTGAAGTTCTGATTACAAAATGTAATTTTCTTATCGAAAAAGTCCGTACTTCCTAAGATATGGACCTCCAAAATTCCACGGTGACCCTTTCAAAATTCATAAAAAGAAGTAGAAAAGGTGGCCGGACTTCTACAGGGCATTAAGAATTTCTCCTACGGACAGATGACAACTTTGAAATTTTCTTTTGATTCGAATAGTTTTTGAAGGTGGGCGGCCTACGGCCGGGGATTAACGACTTTTTTCTATGGACAGGTGGCAACTCCGGCTAAGCAACAGAATCTCCTTTGTAAAAACATTTTGTCCCAATACATTTAGTTTCTAATCAATGTATTTAACCTTTTTAATTATAAAGGAGACACGTAAATCATAGGAAAGGGATATTGGAGGCCCATATATCCGGAAATACGAAATTCCGCAAAGTAGAAGCATAACGTCGTAATCAAGGCCCAAAGACTGCAAAAAAAATGAAAAGGGCTTCAATTGTGTCTAGATATCAAATTCGGTCTGTAAATTCACAGATATCTAAAAATCCAACAAATCGTTGTTCCATGTTTAATATCACGAAACAGAAATCTGGTAATGAAATTCTATATGGTATAAGGTTTATATTCATATTTGAAAATAAGGTGAAATTGATAAGAACGTACCAACGTATTCCAAAGTATTTAGGTTCCGATTCAATGTTGTAATTCAATCATGCACCCAAATGTGTTTTAATTTTATATAGATTACTGAATAGGAAAATGTTGCAGCACATACCTGTCTGTTAAAATGCACCACCTATAAAGTAAATTGGGGACATGTTATTTCTATTGCAGAAGAATCGAATTTCGGCAGCAGACTTACCTACATAACGTGCCCGAAGTCATCATCCAAATTGCTACGAAGGAAGCTGGAACAATTTAATAATGTTTTTATACACTTATATTTACGCGAACTGAAAGAATTAATTATATGCAGGAAATAACGAAACCGAACCAAATGCCACGTGAATATCAATGGAAAGGCAATAATAAAAAAGGACGCCGCGCACTTTTCACAAAAAAAAAAAAATCGTCATTGTCTACTTTCGACACAATTTATCTCAAAATAAATGAAGCCTAAATGACACTTTCACTATATATCGCACAATTCTAAAATAATATATTCTTTTATTGCACGTTTTTAACAAAAAAATATTGAGCAATTAATTAAAATTACGTTTCGCACCGGCATTTGAAGAAAGCTCAAGAAAAGTAAACGAAAAAGGTTTTGTTGACGTTATGCACAAGGTGGTTCATAGATTTTTTTATTGCAGTATAGTGTTTATAACGGAAAGATGTTGTGTTACCCTGTTCAAACATAACATGTGTTATGGGTGCATTAAAATAACTTATTATTATTATTATTGTTTATTAGGGTTATACATTTCTTTAACCTCATAACCCTGTATGATTTTTCGAAGGGGGTTCTACATAAGATTAGATAAAATCGTAAAGGGAACCCCTATTCTCGACTTGAAGACATAAAGGATAAGAAAATGTTGTTGTTTTGTAATTGCTTTTGTAATGGGGGATATTATTTGCGATCACTGGATCGTCCGATTCCAACGGCATTCGAAAGAGTACATGTCTGACTCTAGCATCAATTAGGATTATTAACATCGCACGAAAATGAAAAAATTGATGGACATTCGAAATTTAATTTTTGAAAAATTAATTAAATTGTAAATAATTAAATTAATTGTAAGGGAATTCGATTTTTGCTATGAGCATTTTTGACGATTATTTGGAGTCACATGGTCTGTTCCCGTACTGCAAGAATGTACTATTTATTACTACGATAACCCTTTTTCGTTTATGAAATCTATCAAATAGTAAAAATTAGTAGACCCCTGCAGTACGGAACAGAACAACTGCAAGCTGAGATTTCAATGCCCTCAGCGGTAAGCAACTTGAACATCGTTACTACTTTATCGGACGACAGCTCTTAATTTGCGAGTCTGGGTTTGTACATGCAACTTTGAGTTCTTAGAAGTGAGAGGCATAAAAAGGGACATGGGGAAGAAATTCAAAAGAGAATCGAAGAGAGCAGCAGTAGAGTTGCTTAAAAAAGTTGCATGTATAAAACCAGACTAACGAGGCGTCTTGCAATTCCTGCTGGGATATATTCCCTTTTGCTCGTTGATGTTCCATTGTCTTCCTCCCAAAGACTATCTGTACTTTAAAATGTCTGTTCCATAAGCTAAGGAAAAAAATTGTAGAATCCTGTAGTACGGGAACAAACCAAATATGTATTTGAATTTTACTTCAAAATTTTCCATAAAAGCTAATGTCAATTTTTGAAACTATCTTTCAAATTCCATTTTTAAATTTAATTTATTAATTTAATTTATTTAAAATCAAAAAAGCTCCAAAATTATTTCAGTGAAATATTAGAACCCAAATCATTTCCAATAATACTATGTCGTATCAAATTAAATCAACACCATATTTGAAAAGAATGGTATCGGCAAGTAAACAAAATGGACAGCTACAAAAATTAAAAAAAGAATATGAACGTATAAAAGATTTCGATGAAAAGGCCCTAGAGAAGAGAATGCGTCAAGTTCGGTTGAAAAGACTATTCAAGGAAATAGAAGATCTTAAGGTGGCCAACTTTAAAAGGAAGAAATTTTCGAGTATTCCTGAGGAACCAGCAACTCCTCCCAATGATCCACGCTTGGAAAATTTATTAAAAGCTCGTAAAATGGGTGAAGTTTATTCGCAGCTCAATGGCTGTAATGAGATATTGCCGTCAACAACTAGTGCAACCATGCCCTTAGACCCCACCGAGGCCTTAAGAATTGGTTTACTCTCGAAGAGACAAATACAAGAACGCGAGCGACAAAAAGAAGAAGAAAAGAGAATGAAAGTTAGGGAGCGCAAACAGTATGGCAATCAAATATCCAATTGGAATATGCATAAAATGTTGCAGAAGAAATTGCGCAGCGAGGTAGCGCAAGGTATAAAACAAACTACATTCTGTACTGTGGTAAAGGGGAATGGGTCCTTCAGTCGTCAAGATTCGAATATAACTAGTGATACTTCTTTGGATGGTAAGGAACGTTTAAAAACTCGCGTCGATTATGGGAACTTCTTATCCGAACGAAATCGGCGTGTCATAATGAAAAGAAAATGGAAACAACCTCAATTCCATGGGTATAAGGATGAGGAAAGTCTTGCTGCTGGTAACCTTGTAATTGATTCTTCCAAACATTCACAATCATTGAGTGAAGATCTTGTGTATGAAAGTGCTTTTGATATATCAAACCACACGACAATTGAAACTTGTAATGAAGGCAGGCGTATGAAGGCTCTTCAAAATTGGCATAAATTAGTGATGTTATTGCTTTGTCGTAGCACAACTTTTGGAAAAGAACTCGATTTTAATCTACGTAATATTTCCAATGATACCAATCTTCGACAAAATGATTCTGCAATGCAAGGATCCGAATCTTTGGTAATAAGCGATAAGGAAGATAGTC